AAAACGTGAAATACAATCGCAAAGAAATGGTAAACTGACATCCCGATAATCGACACATCGTGAAAATTGATATCTTAGCATCGTGACAAATGATATAGCAACAAGCCTGTCAGTTAACAGAAAGGGCGCACGTTCATCTTAGCCTTACCTTCTCACTGTACCAGTGAACGGCAAAGTGATGTGATCGGGGAGCCAGGGAGACTTATATAATGGGTTCCGTATGTGCGAGGTGCATGTGGTTCATTGCGGCTTTTTTTATGCACAGTCAACAGATTGAATGATTAATTGTTATTTGTATGCTTTTTCGCTTGTTTCCTGCTCCATTTCTGTCGTCAATGCCGAACTGGCACCGCTGACCGGGTTCCTGGATTCGATTCCAGGGTTCGGATGTCCATCTGTGATTAAGCGGAATTCTCAATTGCAGTCAGTTGGTGGTCTCAGCACGGTCGCCAATGATTCTCATATGATTTCAGACTTTGAATAAAGACCCATAGTTATCACACACAGGTGCACAGATTTACATATAAATACATGGGTTCATAAAGAAGCACATAGTCTTACGTACACACAGACCAGTGTTCTTCATGCATTCTAAGAGGGGGTGGAGCCACTTTCGCCGATAAGAAGACATCATCAGTGTGATGGTGTCGCCACACCTTTGAAACCATTGGGGGGGTTGACAGCAGCACGATGGTGATGATGGGGGGTGTTTTCACTCTTTGTGAAATTGTCGGGCGAGGTCGCACATCAGGGGCCGTACTGAAGGCCACAGGGGTCGCCAGTGGCTCGTGGAGGCCTTGCAATGAAGAACACTGGCATAGTGTGTAGTGTATAATGTAGTGTGTAGCTTAGTGTGTAGCATAGTGTTGTGTATAGTGTAGGCTAGTGTGTAGCATAGTGTATAGTGTAGTCTATAGTGTAGTGTGTAGCGTCGTGTAGTGTATAGTGTTGTGTGTAGTGTATAGTGTAGTGCAGTGTTCACTCATTTTCACAGGGGTGGGAGGGGGAACTTTCGCCGATAAGAAGACTTCATCAGTGCGAGGGCCGCCACACATTTGAAACCATTGGGAGTTTGACAGCAGCACGACGATAGATGGGGGGTGTTCTCTCACTGTGTATTGTCGGGCGGGGCCCCGGAGGGCCGCCAGTGGCCCGCTGGGGCCTTGAAATAAAGAACACATGCATAGACTCGTATGAATGGTCTCCGGCTAAAAGCTTGCAACAGCCGTGCCTTGCCGCCCATCACACTCATCACAGCAATGTTGAGCAAGCAATGGTTCCCCATCCACCTTGGTGAAGCTGCCAGCATCCCAGGATGGCCAGGAGATGTTACCTACAACTCCGGTATGCAGGAGGTCGTGCGTTCGATCCCATCCCTAACAGCCTGCTGTATATGTATTTGGAGTTTGCGTGTCACTCTCTCCCCGTGGTTGCGTGGATTTTTCTCCAGATCCTCCGGTTTTTCCCCTCCACATTTAGAATCAACGTCACGCGTTCAGAGTACTTTGCTGGTATACATTTCCACGCGAATAGCCACTTTGTTGAGCTGTCATTTGTGATGGCCCGGTCGCTTCTGAAAAAGAGCTATACAGCTCAGTGGCCTTACCTGGTAAAATAAAAAATAGTTTTCGTTTAATAGCTTAGATTGAATAATGGACTCTCGTGCTCAAGCACAGTTTAATCCTGACACCGGCAACATTCCGGCGTCAGCTGCCCGCAAATTCACAAAACGTGGAAGACAAAGCCAGGAAAATCCAAACCAGAACGATAGAGAACACTGGAAAAGGCCTCGAAAAATATCTAAAGAAGACCATAAAAGCCTCGCCGTATGCGGGGGGGGGGGGGGTTACCTTTCTGGAAAATGCCGTGTTGGGAAAAAACTGCATTTAACAAATAACGGACCTTGTGGGACAACTAGGGTTGTGTTCCTGGGTCTGAAATGATCACTTCCTCCCTCTCTTTGGATAATTAATTCTACAAGATTTTTCCTAGACCACATCGCAAAAAGCCACTTCATTTGTTTTCTCTCCTTTACATGGTCAGCAATCTTGATTTGAAGCTATCGTGACTGCAGGAATCCATACTCTTTGGTTTTTTCGTTTTATACCTACGTGACTTTACCGAAAGAACCAAAGAGTATGGTCAGCAACTTTGGTGACCTTTTAGAGGTGGGAAGTATAATAATCTGCAAACGTCTTTCATTGCCGTACCGCAACGTATCGATGGGTCAGCATTTAGAACAAAGCTCGCATTTTGACCACGAAACAACGCAGCCTGGGAGGGCGATGGGAGGTAATTTCTACCGATGGCTTTGCCAGTCGCACACGAGGCAGTGGTGGAGGCCAACACCACGCACTTTGCAAAGAGTGCAGCGTAAAATGTATCTCTTGAAACGAAATTTTAGGCCACAAGGAGGGTAGAGGCGGGAAACATTGGAGAGTCAAGTGGGGTGTTCGTTAGCAGTTAGAGCAGTCCACCTTACAGACCACTTTGAACCAAGGGGACGAAGTGAAGGCTACCGTGCAGCGATGTTTTCGTATTGTAAACGCATTCTCTGAAGTCCTTGAACAGCATCCCTACGCCTCCACACGTTATGCCCACCTCTGGTAACGGAGTTTCTGATAACGAAGAGATATCTGGGAACGTTAACCGAGGTATTAACTGCAGTAAATGCATACCAAGACAAGTGGGGACTGGTTAACACACCGCACTGCGAACCTGATTACGAGTTTCATTCCCCACTAAGGCTGACGTGCGTGAACAAAGGTTTAAAAATAAAAACAACGTATTCTGGGCCTCATGTGAGTAGACGCAGCCTCAACACGAGTGTCTGGTACAGAGTTTAATGCATCAGCACTGGGGCGAAAAAGGCAGCCGAGTGTGGTGGTGGTGGTGGTGTTGACCACCCCACGTGCGTGTGAACGTTGAACGTCTTTCGCGCCACATGTAGCCAACCGTGCTAATCGGAGGTGTGGGGTGAAAGGACAACTGGTGGTCACTGGGCGAGTCTCTGTACGTACGTTGAACTTATTTCGCACCGTGCGTAGCCAACCGTACCAATGATAGGTGCGGGGGGGGGGGACAAGCTCAACACAACAAGCAGTTTAAAGAAATTCGTTTTCAATCTCGATGGTGTAAAAATGCAGAGCGCCAGTGGCTTCCTCCATCAGCTCCACCACCTCCTGGCGCAGCATTCCTGGCTGCAATAGGCTCTCACCCCAACAAGCTGCGTAATCAGCTGCGTGGGCACATTTTGGTTTTTTTTTCCATGTACGTGTTTGAGCGGTACACGTGGTGGTCAGTGTGGTCTCCTGCCAAAGCTGAACAAGCAGTTTAAGTTCGGAAAGATTGTAACAGAAATAAAAAATTTTTTATTAACTAGGGGCCGTGTCACGGTGGGGGTAGCGAGACCAAATCTACATACAAGGTGCTGCGGTGGCTGAGATGTTAACTACCTCGTCTGGTATGCAGGAGGTCGCGGTGGGTTCGATCCGTAGTTGTATATACGGGGAAGAGCTGATGATGCAGGCAGTGATGACAAGGAAACTGCCACTATTTGGATACACATATGTAGCAGGATGGACAACAGGGAAATTTAAAGTGTGTTGTTGTCGTTCGGAAAAATGGAAGGAACTCGAAAGAGAGGAAGACTAACAAGAGAATGGCTTGACGGTCACCTCCGATTGGCTACGTACGATGTGAACGAAGTTCTACATACAGATTGGTTTCAGACAGATGTGCACTACTTGAGCATATTGGCACTACAAGACAGGAGAAAAATGGAAACAAATAACAAAACGTGCAGTGGCTATCTGCCCATGGCTCGTGATGATGCACTGAGGGGCCGTCCATAAATGACGTCACGCGATTTTGGACGATTTTTCACCGCCCCCTTCGTCAAACGGCGTCACAAAAAGTCAGACCCCCCCTCAAATATGACGTCACAAAGCTCTGCCCCCCCCCCAAAAAAAATATAAAACATGCTTCAAATCTTTCAATTATTGCCATTGTAGTGCGCATTTAATGTGGCGCTGCACTCTGATGTTGTAGGAGAAAACATTTATTTAAAAGTATATTTAATTAATGTGTTGTCTATATTTATTTAAAGTTGCGCACTTTGATGTGACGTCACATTTCTCCCCCCCCCCCGTCACACATAGTCACAAATGTCTGACCCCCCCCCCCCCCCCCCAGGTGCGTGACGTCATTTATGGACGGCCCCTTACACTACATTACTATACAATACACTACTAAGATGCGCACTACTTGAGCATATCGGCACAAAACAGAGAGAGTAAAGTGGATTCAACAAATGACGAAATGTGCAGTGGACACCAACTACGGGGCTATGTGCCCATGGATCGTGGGGATGCGTTCCCGAAAGCGTTATTTATTTAGTACGAGCAATATGTGCACACACGAGGGCTTCACTGGGGTTTTGAGGTTTCCAGGGTGTGGGAGGAACACGTGTGCGGGGGTAGGAGGAGGGAGCTGTACTGAATTAAAGATGAAAGTGACGCGAAGGGTTCATCTCCAAGTTCCTCGTCGTGAAATAGCTATTATTCAGAATGAGAATGTTTATTTATCCTGGAGAAATCCGATGAGCTATGACGATCATTTTTTTTACAGACGTCCCAGTAGGGGCACGGGGTAAAAAAGTAAATTAAACAATACAAAAACTCCTTTAAAAAAGTTTGTTTTAAACGGTTTTATTATCAACATCATTTAACTCACGGTCGAGAAATACGCGAATGGCGTCTGACACACGCGGCGCCTGCTTTTTGTGCGAGCCGATTCCACAGTTAAGGGACGGCAGCGTTTTCGACCTAAACAAAATACATATAAATAATAAGGCGTCCTTACAAAATGTTTTTTTTTTAAGTAGCGAATTAATTGATTAATCAATGCCGATTTTGGTACAGGCATGCATTGTCACCGGATCTGAGTATGTGTGCAAAATGTGGAATTGATTGGACAACGGGAAGTGGACGAAATTTTGATCACAAGATTTGACCACGACAAACAGGAATCAAGTTAAGTAAAACTGTTGAAAAAAAACACGATAGGAGTGCAAAGTATCCGAAAGGTAAGCAAAAATCAATACAAATAAATACGTAAAAGATAAATATTTCTATTAATAAAATGGGGAAGATGGCAGCATTCACGTGGTCTTCCCCGATACATTAGCACAGTTCGCGATGTAAGGTGCGATAGACGTCCAACGTACACACCTACATGTGATAAAACACAAAAAATGCCATCGTTACAGCGAACGAACGTCTCTAAACAACCTTGCGGTCAGAAATATTCCACGTACATGGTAGGACAAGAGCATTGCATATTATCCACCTTTTCTCTCGAGAGACGAAACTCCTTTTAGAATGTTCACGCCACATCGTGTGTTCTAGTGTGTATCTCTAAATTGTAGCGATAGGAAAACCCCTTCCCGCACTCCTTGCACACATGGGGCTTCTCGCCGGTGTGCGTTCTCGCGTGTGCCTCCAAATTGTAACGTTGCGCGAAGCTCTTCCCGCATTGCTGGCACGAGTGCGGCTTCTCGCCGGTGTGCGTTCTTGTGTGCTTCTCTAAACTGGAACGATGTGTGAATCCCTTTCCACACTCCGAGCACTTGTGCGGCCACTCGCCAGTGTGTGATATGGAGTGTGCGGCCAAGTTACAGCGCTTCGAAAACCCCTTCCCACACTCCTTGCACACGTGCGGCTTCTCGCCGGACGTGTGCGTTCTTGCGTGGTTCTCCAAATCTAAAAGTTGCGCGAAACCCTTTCCGCATTGCTTGCACAGGTGCGGCCACTCGCCCTTGTGTGATAAAGAGAGCTTGGTTAAGGCAGAGCGCTTTGAAAACCCCTTTCCACTTTTCGTGCACACGTGGTGCCTCTCAGAGGCGTGTGTTCTAACGTGTGCCTCCAAATTGTAACGCTGTGCAAAGCCCTTCCCGCACTGCTGGCACGCGTGCGGCTTCTCTCCAGTGTGCGTCCGCGCGTGTTTCTCCAAATTGGAACGCTGTGAAAAGCCCTTCCCACACTCCTTGCACATGTACGGCTTCTCGCCCGTGTGTATCCTCGTGTGTTTCTGAAAATCAGAACGGTGCGTAAATCCTTTTCCACACTCCATGCACACGTATGTCCACTCGCCAGTGTGTGAAATGGAGTGGGCAGCCAAGTTAGAGCGGTTCGTAAACCCCTTCCCGCACTCGTTGCACACGTGCGGTTTCTCGCCGCTGTGTATTCGCGAGTGTTTCTCCAAATCGGAAAGTTGTGCAAAGCCCTTTCCACACTCCATGCACATGTGTGGCCACTCACCAGTGTGTGATGGAGTGTGTGCGGCTAATTTAGAGCGCTTCGAAAAACCCTTCCCACACTCCTTGCACCGGTGCAGCTTCTCGCCCGTGTGTGTTCTAATGTGCTCCTTTAATGTGGAACTTCGTGCAAACCCCTTCCCGCACTCCTTGCACGCGTGCGGCTTCTCGCCTGTGTGTGTTCTTGAGTGCTTCTCTAAATCGGAACACTGTACAAATCCCTTTCCACACTCTGTGCACACGTGCGGCCACTCGCCCGTGTGTGAGATAGCGTGCGTGGTTAAGGTATAGCACGTTGCAAATCCCTTCCCACACTCGTGGCACACGTGCGGCTTTTCGACGGTGTGTGTCCTTGCGTGTTTCTCTGAATCAGAAAGTTGTGCAAATCCCTTGCCACACTCCTTGCACACGTGCGGCCACTCGCCCGTGTGTGATATAGCGTGCGTGGTTAAGGTGGAACGCTTTGTAAACCCCTTCCCACACTCGTTGCACACGTGCGGCCTCTCACCGGTGTGTGTTCTCATGTGCGTTTCTAAATCAAAACGTGATGTAAACCCCTTGGCACACTCCTTGCAAACGTGCTTCCTCCCATCGGTAGCCACTGCCATGCACAACGCGATGCCTTCAAGTGTCTTCCCGCACTGCTTGCAGGCTTGCGGGATCTTGTTGCTTGTACATTCCGCTTTGTCTGTCTTTATTTCCAAGCCATTGCCCTTCCCGCAGTCCTCGCACAGAAGTTCTGTTTCATTTGCTTCATCTGCTGCACGTTTAGAAAATTGCAAAAGCACATTTCAATCAACCGATGCATTAACGATAAAAGATGATTGCCAAAAACAGCACCAGTAACATTTTAGGTGATCCTACTGCAGTAGCCTCGTTTCTACCTACCTTTGCATTCGCCAAATAAAGAAATAAATCTGCAAATGCTCACAATCATTCTCTATCACTCTTGTTTAAGGAAGAATAATCATATATACATGCACTTGAATGAAAATTAATTTGGATTTAGATCGAGGATGGCGCTGCCGTGATCAAATCTTCAAGATTAAGCAATCATATTGTCAAGATGAAGATTTGATCATCTTAAGCCAAACTAATGTTAATTAATATTCTTAGTTCTTTCAGGTGTGAAGACGACCGTTTGTGTTATGGTCGAAACGTCGTGAGAATTTTTTTATTGTTTTATATATATATTATTATTTTGTTGTTTCCCTTCAACGTGACTTTACCGAAAGAACTAAGAATATGAATTACTGCAGTCACGAAAGCTTTAAATCAAAATTTAATGTTAATTAAGTCTATTTCTATTCGAGCATTCGTTCTGAAACAAGACGACGCTGCATTGTCTTTGTTAACTTGACCAAAGGAAACTCACCTTCACCAACGTCCTCCTCCGATAACTGAACTTCGATGAAGTTCTGGTCTGAAGTGACCAGACATCCGTGGGAATCCCCTGTCTCCTCTGGCCTCTCACCAGCTCCTTCAACCTTAACAATCTTCACATCTGGAGCTGTGATATGGAAAATGCACGATGGTTCTTTGAAGGATGGGAGATATAATGCACGTAATAATGCAGTCAAGCTGGTCACCTGTATGTGTGTTGCACTTGCTGTCACACCGTACGTAGCCAACCGTGCTAATAGGAGATGCTAGAGTCGTTTATCCGTACACTCTTAGAATTATTGCCTTCGTTTGGCTCTTAATTCTTGGTTTTGCTCTACGAAGCTGTATGCAGGCATCTTACCATCTTCGTCCACTTCCGTTTTCACCACAATCTTCATTTTCTCAGTGCCCAGACTGCCATCATCTTCTTCCTTGATGCCTGGTCCTGCATATGCACACGCGTTCACACTCGACTGTCACAGACGACAACTTCCAGAAGGTGGCAGAGCCACAGATATATCCTGCTGGATCAGGGTTCTATTGCTACAATGCCTCGCGTCACTTACACCGCTATTCCAGTAGCACATTCGAGCAGCGCTCCGCAGGCCGTGCCTCCGATAGCACAGTGGGCTATGTACGGTGTGAAAGAAGTTCACACATATTGTGACAAAGGCTCTTTTGCACGGGCTGTTTCCCATAGCTAAATGCATAAAGAGGGTTAACAACTGGCTAAGGGAGATAGGCAGTATGGCCAGTTTTGGGACCAGTCTAGGTGGGGTTGATAGGGGTTGGGTCCCCCTGGAGTAGTATAAAAGGCAGTGATCAAAGTGAAGCACAGAGGAGCCATAACTCTTAGCACTTCAGAAACCCATACAGCAGTGGAGGAAGTAGGGCTTCAAACCAGGAGCAGCGGACTGGACTCTGGGAAAGGGAGACTTCCTGAGACGTAAGTAGAATTTAGACATCATCATTAGGGTGGATTGTGGGTTGTTGGGAAAAGTATTGAAGGTTAGACGGGCTTTATTTGTGTTTCGGCACCCAGGGCGGGCGTTGGCAGGAGTGAGGCTGGAACGTGGCAAGCTTGAAGAGCAAGAAGAGAGAAGCACGACCGATAGCGGGACCAGTGCACCGTGCCACTGCTGGCTGTACTCCCCGTGACTCTTGGGGAAGGGGGGGGGAGTTGGCCTCTGCTGATGCTGCCAGGGTGCCCTCACGTGGAGAATGCGTCTGGCTTGGAATATACCGTTATATGCACAGTAGTGGCTAATGTAAGACTCGCATTGAGGGCTGCATGGTGATAAATGGTGTGTCCAGGGAGAGTCGCACAATTACAGCGTAGTGTGTGTGTACGACAGGTTCACGCGAGTCATTAGGTGTTTATGGTTTTGCGCAGCGGGAATATGTCCTTGAACTCGTAAGGAGAAATTGTATAGATAGAATCATGTTAATTTCAAAGCCTCTGTGTGTGTCTGGCTGATTATTAATAGACATCTCTCTTCAGGACTTATATCTGAGACCTCCGTTAATTGTCTGACAATACACACCCACACTACAAAATCACCCCGTTTAAAGGGGAAGAACGCCCTGGCTCGTAATTTACTACTATAATGAGCCAATGTCTGTGTCCCGCGTGTGACGTCACTCCACATCGACCAGCTCCCCTCATTCACAATCATGAACAGGTGACATCCTCCAAATGGACACCCCCCCCCTCTCCATTAATAATAATTAGTGGGTGATGGCACTCCACATGGGGGGGGGGGGCGAGGCGCCTCCTCCCCCCTCCTCGGCGTCAACTTATAACCCTCACTACAAAGGCAGAACCCTCACGTCACGCGATCACCGTAACGCTATTGAGACATAAAAGTAAAAAGGACGTCATGATGAACAAGGGATTATAACCTTTAAATGAAATAGGTCTGTGTCACCGCAGCCTTACAAATTGCACACGAATGGATGCAATGAATATATCACGTCGCGGTCTGCTTTTCTCTTGCAAGTTTCAGATTTACTGCAATACACCCGTCCTTGGACGGGAAAAAGGCTAGTTAAAAAGTAATTACTATATGTTGCGGGGAGTGAAGTTTGGGGGAGAGAGCAGAATTCCCCTCCAATTCTCCCAGTCGCCCGGCGCCACATACTGAATATACATACGTGCCAAGCAAACCCAGGGTCTCTCAGGAGGCCGAGCTATGCCAAGTTGCCTGTAGATCAGAATATGTATTTATACCGGTGGAATCCCATGAGCTATAAAGAACATTTGTCCATTAGGGGCGAGTCAGAACGTTACATGCGTCATTCATCGGGGGTCTCGTATCCAAACACTGTCCAGATGGAAAGCCCGCTCGGCTTTCCACAGTGACGAGATTGGGGAGCATGCCGTGTTACTTTTATGATTTGGTTCGAGGCAGCGCGATCTTACCAGAGTCACGATTCACCGTCACGTCAGGATACATCCTCGGGCTTGGCGTTTCATCGTTTTCTTGTTTGATGAATGCCAACTCAACGTGTGATGCCATCTGAGAGGAGGCAGACACACAGACACCCAGACACACCTCGTCAGATGTGCATTTGAACGTATTGGGCCGTACTCCAGTGTGGCGGGGGTGGTGATATGAGCGGGCTGAACACGAAGCTTCACACGGTCTATGTAATAAGATGTTTTTGGGTTAGATTGCGCAACCTCTTATGGATGTTGGTCACGAAAGTCTACGTGTTAAACCTTCCAACACGGTGTGTCGCCGTATAGCAAGCAATCCAGCTCTGATGCCGATGGGCTGGCTCCGTGTTCCGAAGGCGACAAAATTTCTACTCCTGGCCACAGAGAGACTTGGGTCAGGACGGATGTTCTTCCTCGATTCATTTCTTGGCGGACGGTGGCATCGCAAAGATGACGACTCGCAGTGTGGTGGTGGTGGTGACAACACCACACGTTCCGAGTCGTTAAAGCAGCTGCTGAATCTAAGTATGGTAAAGTCACGTAGATATAAAGAAAATTATGATTTTATTTATATATAAAATAAATTGTGATTTAATTTATTTTTATAGAAAATAAAATAAATTGTGATTTAATTTATTTTTATAGAAAATAATAAAAGTGATACATATTCTTGGTTCTTTCGGTAAAGTCACGTTGAAGGGAAACAATAAAATAATAAAATATATAAAACAATATTGTAAAAAAGCATATAAAACAATATTGTTTTATATATTTTATTATTTTAATATAAAATAACAACATTGTAAAAAAATATAAAAAATATTGTTGTATTTATTTTATTATTTTATTGTTTCCCTTCAACGTGACTTTACCGAAAGAACCAAGAATATGTATCACTGCAGTCACGAAAGCTTTAAATCAAAATATAATAAAAGTGAAATTTTGATTTAAAGCTTTCTTGACTGCAAGGATTCATCTTCTTTGGTTCTTTCGGTAAAGTCCTCCAGACAGTCTCGTCCCTTCACCTGATGAAGGCCGCTTGTGTTGTGGCCGAAACGTCGTGAGAATTTTATTATTTTATTTTATTATTTTATTCTCATTCTACGTGACTTTACCGAAAGAACCAAAGAAGATAATAAAATTGATTTAATTTATTTTTATATAAAAATTGTGATTATTTTTTTTATATAAAATAAATTATGATTTAATTTCTTTTATTTTTATATAAAATAGTGATTTAATTTATTTTTCTACCTACGTGACTTTACCGAAAGAACCAAAGCGTATGGATTCCTGCAGTCACGAAAACGTCAAATCCAGATTCTAAGTGCGCTACTTCTGATGGGAGAGTCTTGCAGCTACACAAACATTGACGTCGTAAATTTCGGTGCCTCGTCTTTACCCTTGGGATGGATCACCCCCACCGGGTCAAACCGAGGTCAGCTCAAGTCGTCCCACGAGAGCGCCGTTGATTAAATAACAGGGAGTTTCAACACTTTTGATTTACATGGGACTATCGTTTTTAATAGGGGGGGCGGGGGAAAACGGCTAACACCGCAACGTGATAAAAATGTAATGTTAACAGGGACCACGCCCGGCCGCCTTTGTCTCTTATGCCCAGCGACGATGTTTTACTACACCACGTACTCATCATTTGAGGTCGAGTCGACCTAGGGGAGGGCCCAGGACCGGTTCAGATAATCGTCGCCTACTGAGTGGTGTTGGTGGTGGCCGTGAGCGGGAATCGAACTCGGGACTTTGCCCTGGTTCGTAGAGCCGCGCAGCGCTAACCGCTGCACCACCGCTCCCCACGCTCACTCGTTTCACCCCCGGCCTCCGTTGAAGGACTCACTGTGTGTGTGTTTGTCTCTCTCCACGTGTCTCTGTCCCTGTTTGTCTCTCTCCACGTGTCTCTCTCCACGTGTCTCTCGCCACGTGTCTCTCTCCCTGTGTTTGTCTCTCTCCACGTGTCTGTCTCTCTCCACGTGTCTCCCTGTGTGACGTGTCTGTCTCCACGTGTCTGTCTCTCTCCCTGTGTTTGTCTCTCTCCACGTGTCGCTCTCCACGTGTCGCTCTCCACGTGTCTCTCTCCCTGTGTTTGTCTCTCTCCACGTGTCTCTCTCCACGTGTCCCTCTCCACGTGTCTCTCTCCACGTGTCTCTCTCCACGTGTCTCTCTCCAGGTGTCTGTCCCTGTTTGTCTCTCTCCACGTGTCTCTGTCCCTGTTTGTCTCTGTCCCTGTTTGTCTCTGTCCCTGTTTGTCTCTGTCCACGTGTCTCTCTCCACGTGTCTCTGTCCCTGTTTGTCTCTGTCCCTGTTTGTCTCTCTCCACGTTTGTCTCTCTCCGTATTCTTGAGTTTCCGTCTGGCGCCACCCCTGCGCGTTAGCAAGCGGAAAGATGCTGCGACAAGACGCCTCTCCCTCCACCCATTCACCACCCAGCAAGCGGCAAGATGCTGCGACAAGACTCCTCTCCCTCTCATTCACCACCCAGCAAGCGGCAAGATGCTGCGACAAGACGTCTACCTCCACCCATTCACCACCCAGCAAGCGGCAAGATGCTGCGGCAAGACGCCTACCTCCACCCATTCACCACCCAGCAAGCGGCAAAATGCTGCGACAAGACGCCTCTCCCTCCACCTATTCACCACCCAGCTAGAGCAAGATGCTGCGACAAGACGCCTCTCCCTCCACCACCCAGCAAGCGGCAAGATGCGGGGGAAGACGCATCGCCCTCCACCCATTCACCGCCCTACAAGCGGCAAGATGCTGCGACAAGACACCTCTCCCTTTAACCATTCACCATCCAGCGAGCGGCAAGATGCGGCGGCAAGACGCATCGCCCTCCACCCATTCGCCACCCTGCAAGCGACAAGACGCAACAAAAACGCACTCCCTATTCGCCACCCTGCAAGGGAACGGTATGCAGCAAGAAGACGTAAGACAACTCCTACACTTCAAGCCATCGTCTCAACTCCAGCCCCTGTGACTCCCACACCTGTCTCCCTCCCACCCCCCACAGTTCAGCTGTCCTGAATTACCAACTATCGGGTGTGTGCAGTGGCTACGTTTCTCCAGCTGGGGTCTGGGGGTGAATGGGGCAACACGCAGTCACGGTAACCTCGGCATCCGACTTGCTCTGTCAACAAAAGTAAAATGTCGTAATCGAGATGCCTTAATTATCGGTCCTCTATTCTCCGGACCAACAACGCTGCATTGTTCACAAACAGCAATGAACAACAACAACTGATCAACAACAGAACTGGGGTAAATCCAGAGTTAAAACCCCCCAAAAACTGGATGTGCTTGCCAAATAACTCCAGTTATCTGGGTTTCGATCGACTAATGACATTTTTAATGTGTGTCTATACGATCAAGCATTGATTGTTCTGCCCCACGGCAGATATGGGGGTGTGTCTACACAGGAACTTCCTGATAATTATGGTGTTGAGCTTGGCCACGTGACCAGGAAGTTCCGATATTGATTTGAAGCTTTCGTAACTGCAGGAATCGATACTCTTTGGTTCTTTCGGTAAAGTCACGTAGGTAGAAATAAAGTAAAATAAAACAAATCACGACGTTTCCATCGCAACACAAGCGGTCTTCATCAGGTGGAACAACCACAGCAAGAAAATGCTTAAGTCTTGCTGTGGTTCATCTTCTTTGGTTCTTTCGGTAAAGTCACGTAGAATGAGAATAAAATAATAAATAAAACAATTAAATTCTGACAACGTTTCGGCCACAACACAAGTGGCCTTCTTCAGGTGAAAGGAACAAACCTGTCGGGACGACAGAGCTACGTTCATTGTAGCTCGTTCATTGTAGCTCTGTCGTCCCGACATGTTTGTTCCTTTCACCTGAAGAAGGCCACTTGTGTTGTGACCGAAACGTCGTGAGAATTTTATTGTTATATTTTATTATTTTATTCTCATTCTACGTGACTTTACCGAAAGGACCAAAGAAGATGAATCCTTGCAGTCACGAAAGCTTTAAATCGAAAAATCTTGCTGTGGTTGTTCCACCTAATGAAGAAAATTCTGAAGTCTTGCTGTGGTTGTACCACCTGATGAAGACCGCTTGTGTTGCGATCGAAACGTCGTGATTTGTTTTGTTATTTCTACCTACGTGAGTGACTTTACCGAAAGAACCAAAGAGTAAGGAAGTTACGAGGCCAGGCAGGGGTGTCAGCCATTACACAGAGTACAAAATGGAGGCACAGTTAGCATCTCGGTGAAGACGGGTGGGTGCATCTGTTCATTGCGGGACTTTAAGAAGCATTGTCTGTAAGTTCAGACCTAAGGGTTCGAAAGAGTCGGCGGTTTTAATGTGGGGTGCGATTCTTCGGAGAGAAGGTGGCACACCAGGCGGATTGGTCGTTTCGCCGCACTTTTACCAGATGGATACTTTTATGCCCCCCTTGTCGGAAGAACCCCACAAGTATTGTCTCACGTGTGTGCTCTGTATTGTTACTTAATAAAGAAAAAGGAACCCGTTCGTACAAGCAGCGCAACCGAACGACTCCATCGCCATTATGCATCCGCCAGCATGCCCATTTACAGGGACTCGCGGTCCTGCGTGTCCCAGTTCTCAATAATCGGCTTGCAGCAGTAGAGCTCTAGTGACTTCTTACGTGTGGTACCTCCACAGTCCAGCAGTAGATAGAGCAATGGTGGCTCACGTAGGTAGAAAAATAAAACAAAATAATATATCACGTTTTGATCGCAACACAAGCGGTCGTCCTCAGGCGGAAACATTTTTTATCCAGCAGAAGAACTGCTGAACCAGCGAGAGAGCTGTTACAACAAGGAGGTTATATATATGTGGCGATGGGCAAGCAAGCCGGGTCTGAGCTGGAAAGGAATTTGAAACGAGGTTTTCAGGGCATGGGGTGACCAATAAGGTCTGAATTGGGTCTGTAATAAGGTAGGGCACTGATAAGGGGTTGACAGGTACATAGTGGCGAGTGTAGTAGTGGTGAATTTACTCGTGGTGAGTGTAGTAGTGATTGTCTATTTGTGGTTCTCCCTTGTGATGGTACTTCGTGGGATGAACGTTGAGATTTATGTGTGCACGGGGTGACCAATAAACTCTGAATTTGATCTGTAATCGGGTATGCACATCTACCTATATAATGGAACGCTAAGAGACTTTCTGTTCCCCTGCAACACTTTGCCCTCTGGTTGGCACCATCGCACAGGCCGACTGTCTTCTTGCTGAGCCTTACGTCACGTGACCCAAATGGCGGTACCCTCGTGGTACCAAATCATACAAAATGGCCGAGGCAATGAAATACTTTATTTCTGGGATGCTATTTTTTTTTAACCAGGGGTGTTACTTCACTCCGCGACCTGGGGGCACCAATCAATCTGAAACAGGCGCCACTCTGCGATGTCGAAACGACAAACATCGGCATAAAAAAATCCGTTATCGGAAAAATTAAACTTTGAATAGTGCATCGTGTACAGTTCGTCGAGATGAGTCCATTGCCGGATCGCCGACCACCAACAGACTAAAAATGACTGCATCACGGACATTATGCGCCATAAGGTTCAAGTATACATGACCTGTATCGAGTATACATAACCTGTATACTCGATGCAAACTTCCGACAATAACATAAAGGTGAGGCACCCTGCCCATGCAATAATTGATCAACTTGCGCTCAAAGTGCAACGTTATTTACAATTCACCGTCATAACACGGTGTGGCCAGTTGCCCACCTGACGTTCATGAAGTTCAACTTGATCGTAAGTAAACACGGTATGAGCAAAAGAACCCTATTTTGGCCGCAATAAAACAGGGGTTGTGATTTATTCTATACCTGCGTGACTTTACCGAAAGAACCAAAGAGGATTAGGAGTTGTGTTAAGATGTGCAAACGCCAACAGAAACCTTTTGCAGGGAATCAAGTGACCGCATTAACCATGCACGGTACTTGTGAACATGCCAACAATCACGCTCTGCTAATAACATTATCTGGGCATTGTCTTTGAAACTGATTGGCCTACACGAGAGGCAGTAGCCTTCTTTTGGGCCAAGTCTCACCACCAGTGTGAGGCCAGAGGACGACGCCAAAAAGCGAACAGTACAAAAGGCATAGTTATTGACTTAAAGTTTTCGTGACTGCCCACCATTGGCATTGGCTGCTGACACTTGGGCTACGCCCATTTCAAACCTTTTATTAACAGTTTGCCTTTAGAAGCTGACCCCCCTTTTCCTGATGATGACCGCTTGTGTTGCGATCGAAACGTAGTTTTTGGTTATTTTCCTTGAACCTATCTACGTGACTTCACCGAAAGACCCAAAGAACAGTACAAAGGCAATGCCACCATCAGAGCATTTGTGGCGGCCTTCATAGGTGCTCGCTAACTGCACTTGCCCCAACAGTCAAAGGCTACACCGGGTGATGGGGAATCTTTTGGATTGGTGTGCGCGTGTGACATTGTAGCGAGTTTACTCGACGAGCAAGCGCTCTTGCCTCTCGTCAAATCCTCTTGGAAGTTCCTCGGGGGATCTCCTCCTCCTCCTGCCTTGGTCTGGTCACAGTTACGGATACACGAATGCTCCTCAGAAGGGCACTCCGAAAATTCGGAGTTGACATTCCACAGCGCCGCCGGTGTCCCTCGGTGGTCGAAGTCACTCTCGATCCTCGAGAAGGGAGGGCAGAACACAACGCGGAGTGTTCGCTCATCGCCTCCTCCTAACTCGTCGATTCTTGTCGTCGTTACGATCATGGGAGGAGAGGGATGAGGGCCAGCCGGTTGCAAAAGCGACAGGACGTAAGACAACTATCATCTGTGCCACCCCCCCCCCCACCCAGTTCAGCAGTCCTGCATTAC